TCAGAGATATAAGCAGTAGTTGTTGAGCACCAACTTAAACTTGAACCTATAAATACTTCAAGAGGAGAAGACCCAAAGGCTGCCTCAGAGACACTCATCCACACGTTGGGAGCTATATATAAACTGGCACCTTAAAATGACAGCTATGTCAAGAACTGATGGCTTCTGGCCAAGCGTTGTTGGTGCTGTCGGTTAAGCGACCGATTACAAAAAAATTATTTTCTCAAAAAAAAAAAAAAAAAAGGAAAGAAAGAAAATATTTGCGTTTTTAGTCTATATTCAGGATAATAGAGTGAAAAGAGGATAAGTGCCTAAGGCAAGCAGAGCTGGTTTTAATCCCACTTTAACCATTTACCGCCATATCGTCTTGGGTGCAATATTTAAATAAGCCTGAGCCCTCGGTCTCATGTCTGTACAGCAAAAATAATGAATAAAAATGACGTGCCTGGACAATTCTAATAATGCTTTCAACACCATTACATTCAGTCGTATCAAAATGGAACTTTCCAGCCTAGGAGAAAAGCCACCTAGCATCCTGCTAAGCCACCACTGAGCAGGAGATATTGCTGCATTTTCTCCTTTGAATTTAACCAGAGTATTTTGTTGCTAATGTGTGACAATAATTGGCACTCATAACTTTGTAAATGAGCAAGCGGAGGTAAACTGAGGTCAAAGCCAAATGTTGGATCTGAATCAAACCACCCAAAAGCAATACTGCAGAGAATTTAACAGGGTTACAAAGACCAGTGTGCAGACTGAGAGCTTCGGTCGTCCTAGCAACCTTTTGAAGCAAACACTGGTGCAGATTTGCTGGCATATATGACACTGAGAACATCTGGTCTTTCTATTATCTTCTCACAAGCAAAAAATGATGTCGTGTAAACTGATCTTTAGGCCAATTATATGGTCTAAGTGTTACAGTGTTTGTGTTGGCTCTTCTGGCTCCAGGTTTTAAGAACTTAATTTGTAGCCACACCCCTCCCTGAAGTCCTAATTGCATCTTACTGTAACTGACCCCAAGGATTTGTTTATGCCAAGTCTGCACCTTCCTTCAGGACGATAAGTATGTGTAAATGCATCATCAGTCAACTGTGCGTGCAAAACGTGGTGGGAGGTCCTATAAGAATCAGTTACAGGAGTTTTGTGCAATGGGAAAGTAGAGACAGTGCCTAAGAGAGGAGGCTCTGGGGACTACTCTGGTCATATATCCAATGCTACATTTTTTCCCCTGTATACCAGTTTTGTTATGGAAGCCAGGTGTGGAGTATTGAGGCTCTAGTCTGCAGCTCACTTAGAAGGCACTAAACTAGGAGTCAGAAAACTGATACTACCTCCCACCTGGCCTTCCTACCCTAGACAAGGTCATTGTTGTGTCTGAGCATCTGTTTCTCCATCTAGACTCAACTTCATTTACAAACTCAGTGTGGCAGGCACTGTTCCAAGGCCTTCATCAACATTGATTAAGTTAATCCTCATAATGACTCTAACTGGCAAGCAGTATTATTATTCCCACCCAATGTCACACGGCGGGGGCATGGCAGAGATTGTGAGCTTGCCCCCCACCCTGCTCCAGCTGCTCGCTAAGAGCTCTGGGTTTCTGTGCTCAGCCCTAATGGACTGGGGTCTCTAATGAACCACAGCCTAGTGCTCTGGAGCAGGAGACCCATGGGTGCACCCCTGGACTGGTACTGACCACAGGAAAGGGGCTTCTTGCCTCTCTCCCTCCTCATCCCACCCCATCCTTCTGTTGCTATGGCCAAGAGGCCATGGCGGCAGCTGATGGGGCTGACCTAGGGAGGTCTTTCTCCCATTTCACTCCAACCCTCACCCCTACAGCCCACAGATAGATGTGAGGGGCCATCTTTTACTCTGTGGATCCTTTCCCACCTTTTTGAAGACATCTGGGGATCCTAATCTGGGTTATGAACAGAAGTATTGGTAGAAGAAAGCAGGGAGCTCCTGATTTTGTCTTTGGACAAAATAGCCTCTGGTAAATGTATTAGCATTACAGTGTGTGAAATAAGTAAATAGGCCTCTGAATTAACATGCTTCCTTGATCTGCCACAGCCCCTCCCCCATCACTGACCCCTAAATGGAGGAAGGGAGTTGTGGGATGGCCAGCCCTTAGGGAAAACTGAAGCTTTATGGGGACTTGACCCCAGGCACCAGCAGCACCATCTTCAGGACCAGAAGTTTCCTTCATCTTTAGAGGAAATGAATCTCTCGAGTCTCTTTGCCTGACTTAGCATGTCTAGGAACAAAGGGCAGAATATGTAGTACAGTAAATCCCAACTCTGAGTTGTCCATTACAGGAATTTATCACAGATGGTAATCATTAGGACTTTAACATTCTTGAAGGAAAGAGCTTTATCCAGAATTATAAATAAACTATTCCCAAGGCTTAGATTTATAAAGCTGTGCTAAAAAAATAAAATTCAAGTGAATAAAATTTAAATATCTCATTGGCTTTATTTAACAATTCGTGAATCAGGCTGCATCACACCTAGCAAACAGAAAGGAGCTCCGAGAAGCTGTACAAAATGGGAGACTTTTATAGGCAGAAGTGGGCAGGGACAGGGACAGGGATAGGGAAAGAGTGGGTTACTTCATATTTCTTTGGGAGACAAAGGGGTCTATCAGGCATATTACCTCATTAATGCTAACCAGGAAATCCCAGATTGACTGGTTTAAGATTACATTTATGGGAAAGTTTGAAACTGCAATTAGCCTAAATATTGAGTCTTGGTTTGTGGACATGGGGCTTAGCACAAGTGACTCCATTTGGAGCGTGTTGTTTCTCTTTTTTTTTTTTTTTTTTTTTAACAGCTGTTAGAGAGGGTTGCTTGGACAACTAGGACTTTACAGCCTGGGTTACAAAGTCAACCTAACTTGTGAAAGCTTGGCATTGATCTGGGAGTTCTGGGTAATGCCAAGAGAAGATGGGAACTTATTTTCTGCAGTTAGTGGGCTCCCAATCAGAACCTAACAAGGTTAGGTCCTGGCTTAAGCTCATGAAATGGAAGCTCAGAGAAAATGGGGTGCCAGCATCTAAATATGGCATTACAATTCCTAAACCAATAGTGGAGCAACAGTGTGCAGAACAAGGATGCTGCCTTCCAGAAGTGTCTCATCTAGTCCGGAAGGTAAGGCATTTACCAACCAAACAACTAGAGTTTGTAGGCTTCTGCATGTGGCATAGACTGTAACTAGAGAATGCAGGGAGGGAAGCAAAGGACACATGGAGGCTGGAGTCATCAAGAAAAGATGGGGCGGTGGGGGAAGGGACTGACTTAGGACTTGGATGAGTGGGGTGTGCACATGTAAGGCAAGGTTTGCTCAGCCCCACACCTCCGACAAACATGCATCACGTCCCTGCTGTGACTCTCAGTCCGAGCCAGGTCTCAAATCACACACTTGTGTCTCCTACAGGTGACTGAGCCTTAAATTCCAGACTCACCCTCTTCATTCCCCCTCGAGCCTTCTTCTAAAGGCCTGAAAAGGGAAACTCCAGCCTCTGGACATATCCCATCCGGGGCAGATGCCACGGGATGGGCATCCATCCTGGAGGGTGAAGCCGGGGGAAAAACCCACACGCCAGCCACAGCCCCAGTGTAGAGCTGTATGGGGCTAGGATGAGCAGGAGAGGGAGAAAGGGACAGGGCAGCCTCAAAGGCATGTGCCCCCCTGCCTCAGCTTCCGTGTGGCAAGATTCTGTAGGCATCTGGGAGACACAGTTGAGGGGACAATAAAATGCCCTGCAGGCACAGGAAGTTTGAAGGGAGGCTAGGACCCCAAAGGGTGGTCCACAGCCAGGCAGTCCAGGAGGTTCTGATGGGAAAAGTGAAGGGAGCACAGGCACCAGAAGGAGAACGTCATCTGTTGGGGGTGCAGGGAGTGCAGGACTAACTTTGAAGCGCCAAGAGGTGACATCACAGAGGAGAATTACATAGGACTGGCTGCAGATCCTGGACTCTCTAAAGGCTGCTGTAGGGGCTCTAGGTATCTTCTCTGCATTGTCCAGTCAGGTGCCCAGGAAGGATGGGGAGAAAAGTAGAATTCAAGGTAGATGTGTGCTTTGCAATAAAATGTCCCCAGAACCTAAGGGTGCCTGAGCAGGTGCAGCAGCATCTGGAAGAAGAGGGACTGCCTCAACCAGAGCAAGGGGAGGATAAATTGTTCATTACAGAGCTTTGGAGAAGGCAGGGGCATGGAGGGAGAAGCTGTATCGACTGGGGTCCTATTCACATCAGTAGGGAGAGCTGCCTCCTTAATTTACTACCCAGCACAAATGGTTGAAGGGAGCAGATGTTGATGAGGAGAGACAAATGCATGAGCGCCCCTGAGGATCACCCCAGTTTGCCATATTGGTGACAATGCAGATCACAGATTGATTCAGCACCCTTGAAGTATAGTATAGGAGAAGCTCGTGTTGTTAACCTTCTACTGCCTCCAGAAGTGTAACTGAAATCAGTTGAAACAAGTTCCTTTCATTTAAAAAAAATTAGGGAACCTCCTTAGAAGACATTAAAGTGTGGCAGGAAGAATAGAGGTTCTGGAGCCTATCAGGGATTCCAGTCACCAACCCCACCTCTTCCTGGTTGTGTGGCCTCGGGAAAATGATTTCATCTTTTTGAGCCTCAGTTTCCCCATCTATGAAATGGAACATATGATAAAGGTACCTGGCTGGCAAGGCTATTGAAGAGATTAAATTTGATAACCTCTGTACATAGCTTGACCCCATGCATCCAACCTAGTTAAGTTCAGTCCCCTTCTCTTCTTCCTCTTTGAGAGAGAGACTCCAAGAAAATGAATTTTGACAAACAATTTTACACAGAAAGAAGAAATTTGTTGTCAAGCTCTATGGTATGCCAGAAGAGCACTGCCATAAACATCGCGTCTGCTTTCTACATATTTCTTTCAAGCTGCCCACCGTGCTTCCCAGCTGCCCTGCTCCAAACAGCAAGCATCAGCTCATGTCCTTCTCTCTGATTCTCTTACAGGGGCGCTGTATCAACTTCACCAGAGTCAAGAACAATCAGCCCGCCAAGTACCCCCTCAACAATGCCTACCACACCACCTCGCCGCCTCCTGCCCCCATTTACACGCCCCCACCCCCTGCTCCCCACTGCCCTCCCCCACCCCCCAGTGCTCCCACCCCTCCAATTCCATCCCCACCTTCTACCCTTCCCCCTCCTCCTCAAGCTCCACCTCCCAACAGGGCGCCACCCCCCTCCCGACCTCCTCCCAGGCCTTCTGTCTAGAACCCAAAGTTCATGCTCTGGGCTCTTAGAAACTTTGGGGAGGAGGCTCCTCTGTGGTGTTAGAATAAGTCTTTCCAGTTAGGGGAGGCTTCTGCTTTGGAAATGAGTGGTGATAAAGCCCACTGATCTTCACACACCTTAAAAATTGGTTTGTAATGCCAATACATCGACAATTGTGATCAGCAGAAAGAAAGAGAAATTTTGAAATGCCTCTAAACAAATGATGAGGCAACTACAGTCACAATTATAGCCAGCCAGCCATCACCTCTAGAAGGTTCCAGAGACAGTGAAACTGCTGAGATGCTCTAAATGGGATTGTGTCTCATGGAGACCAATAAGAAAATCATTTCTCTGAGGGTGAAATGCAGAGTCGGATGGATGAGAAATAACATTGCTGGGTTTCTAAATGCTGCCTTCCCTCCTCCACTCCACCTCCATCACTTGACCCTGGACCCTTGGCCTAGGAACCAAGGAACCCTCACCCAAGAAAGTGAAAACCCTTTGCCTACAACTTTGGGAAAAGCTTGGGTTCTCCCTTGTGGCAAGAAACTCAACATCAGACAGGTATCTGACAGGTATCTGAACAAAAGCATGTTCGCCTGGGATTTGCAGAGGAATAAAAACATATGCCTTATTTTACTTTCAAATTCTCCCAGTTTCCAAGTGAGGGAGAGAGCAGGTGTTTACAGATGGAAAAAGGTATGTTGCCACGTTGCTGTGTAAGTGAAATCAGGTGTGTGCATTGACAGGCGAGTACTGATGAGAGCATCAGACAGTTTCTAAAACCCACAGGCCATCAGCAGCTAGAGGTGGCTGGCTTTGGCCCGACATGGTCCCCTAAATCAACAGACATGGCATTGTTGAAGAGCAACCTGTTAATTATTCATCTTAAAAACCAAGATTTGGCTTCAGTTTAAATCACTTAAGATACGAAGAAGTGACTGATCCCATTTTTTAGAGACAAACATGAGTTGATCTTCCCAAAATGGTGTCACTAGCGCCTACCATACAATTTTGCTGGGGTTTTTTTTCTTTCTTTTTTGGTAAAGTTGTGTACCAGAGACTTCTATTCCAGCTGAGAGACAAGGGTCCTAACATAATATGGAAACCATCCCCACATGCTTTAATTAACCACAAAAAAAGTCATGTATGTGTAGATGTAAATATATTTCTCCTTGGCTTTTCAACATTCTCATAAATATCAGCTATCAACCCAGGAGGAATACACTAGATGTTCTGCCTGAAATTCCCACCAGGCCTGGGGTACACCCCATTCCTCCAAGTCTTTCTGAATCTGTTGTCATCAGTAAACCCTATAATCACTTTCTAAACATTGGGCTTCATCAACTAGGGTAAAAACAGAGGGCCATTGTTGAGCACCTCCTATACTATCCTATTCAAAATTATCTTCCCCTCCAGCTTCCCACAGGTCTTAAAATTCCTCTCCCAAAGTGCTCAAAGACTTAAATCTTTTCTGGAACAAAGCAGCATATAAAATAAATATAAACCTAGCACTTTGGGTTATGATCTCTAAAGATCCTTTAAGAACCCATCAAGCCAGCCTGATTCTTGGACCTTACTTAGAGACATAAGGACCTGGTAGGCATTCCAGAAACACCAGTTCTTGTAGACATTGTAGATATGGCAGACATTACTTATCAATCACAGCACTATCCATGAAGCCCAACAATTTCTTCAACAGTCCTCAGATCACAACTACAAAGAGCCTCCATTCATCAGTCGGAATTGAGAGAGAGATGAGCCCTATTTTCCATCCCTGCTTTAGAAGTCAGAAACAAACAGGAATTGCATGGAGAAATGGGGAACTCTTGGGCAGCAAAGGTACAGTCGGGGGAAAATAGATCTAGGCAGAGTGCCTTATTGGGGGGCCATATGCACTAAATCTGCAGTGCCAATGCCAAACTGACACTTCTCCAAGTGTACTTCAGACCAGCCCTTCTCCTGACCTGCCACTTCCGAAGAATCTCCCAGCCATTGTCTAGAGCGAAAATCAGATATGGTTTCCAGGACTTATGAAAGCAACCTCCCTTTGCCACCCCCTCAACCTGGCCTATATTATCTATTTTTAGAACACTAGGCTTCTTCTTTAGTATAGTCCCTCATGAAGCAGGGGCCAGAATGTCTCAGCCACTTGCAGTGACATTGCTGGACTCCAGAAAACCATTCCATAGGAGAATGGGTTCCCCAGGCTCACAGCGTAGAGACGTTGAGCCCATGGCAACTGTTTTGACTGCTGGCAGTACAAAACGGTCCACCCCCCACCACTAGCCCCATGACTCACTGCGGCCATAAGAAAGTTCAAGCCAAGATGCTGACGTCATACAACAAGATGGCGGGCATCATTCAGGATCTCAACAGCACATCAGTCAGAAGCCCTGTGCGGTTTCCACAATGTTTTGGTGAACTTTTTGATGAATAGGGAACTGCAAATATATGATGATTTTGAAGAGGATTAGCAGGGTTTGTCCTTCAAACTGACTCATCATGTCATCCCTACTCATTTAGAATTACAGTTAAGAAGGTGAAACTTCTAGACTGTATGAACAAGGCAATAGTAGGCTAGTACAGACAAGAAAATTCTTTAACTGGTTTATAAAATCTATCAGTACTTG